TCCTCGATGGGCCGTACGAGCCCTTTGTCAAGTCGGAGAAGCGCTGGGTGCCGTCGAAAGAAAAGGCGGTCGTCGTCGACGACTCGGTCGCGGCCACGGTCAAAACGCTCCTCAACAAGCTCACGCGCGAGCTCTTTGAGAAGCTCACGCTGTCGTTTTGCGAAATTCCGCTCACGTCGTTTGGGGTGCTGCGCACGATCATTCGCATGATCATGGAGAAGGCGCTCGACGAGCCCAACTTTGCGCAAGTGTACGCCGACCTCTGCGCGCGGCTCCACGCCCACACGCTCGCGAACGGCGCGTACAAGTTTCTGCACCCCGTGCAGCACGCCACCGACAAGGTATCTCGCAATAGCAAAGGCTTGTCGTGCGCAATTTTGTCGATGGTAGAGCTGGCTCTGGACGGCCATTTCCAGCCCGTCCTTCCCACCGTTCTATGGCCCATACGAGAGGTACACATCGTACAGGTCATAAGATCGCGATGACGGATGGCGTGGCGATTAGTGTCGACGCGTGCGTGGCCGCGCCTCCGTCCAGCGACCCGCCTGTCGCGGTCGACGAGCTCAACATGCCATCGTTCTACTGCAGCGACACGCATCTCTTTGCGATCTGCACCAAGCGCGCCGGCGCCGGCTACTTTGTCTCGGCCAAAGCCCGCGACTCGCTGACCGAAGATGAGCTCTTGCTCGGCCGCTTCCCTTCGGGTACTTGGGAATGGTATGTATGTCCACGATGCAACGGCCGGGCTTGCGTAGCGGACGCGGCGATGAAGGCAGCGGTCAAGTGCACGACGTTCAAGCGCCTTCTCGTGACGCGCTGCCAAGACGAGTTTGACAAATGGGTATGACCCGCCTTCGTCACAGACGACGGACGCGGACGCACGTATGACGTAGAACGTGGCGGACAAGACGGTAGCGCCGACGACCGACGAAGAAAAGCACCGTGCAGCGCTGGTAGAGGCCTCTTTCTCTAGCAGCGATTGCTTAGCATTGGGGTGGTAGGTGGCGAAGCGCGCCAAGGCCCGCATGCTTGGCAACATGCGCTTCATTGGTGAGCTCTTCAAGGTCGAGCTCCTCGCGGTATGCAGCATATGACGGTCATGACAAGGCGCGACCTTTTCGGTGGTTGTAGGAAAATGTGGTCCAAACGTGCTTGCTCAAGCTCTTGGGTCTTCGCCTCGTGCACACCGAGACGCATGGCATCGCTCTTCAGACGCTTCGGTGCGGATATCGCAGAGCTTGTGTCGCTCACGCAATTGTGTAGGATGCCGGACGAGGAAGAGCTCGAAGCGCTCTGCAAGATGCTTGCGACGGTCGGCAAGAAGTTTGATCATGACGGCGTCAAGACGGTCATGAACGGTATCATTGTCCGTCTCGTCGAACTGTCCGAGACGCCGTCGCTGCCGTCACGGACGCGCTTTCTCCTCAAGGACCTTCTCGAGACGCGCGACTACCAATGGGTGCCCCGGCGCAAGGTACACCACATATCTGTTAAAATGCAAGACTCGACCGTATTTGTGTCTAGGAACTGCAACAAAAGACGCTGGACGAAGTCCGCAAGGAGGCCGAGAAGCTCCAGCGACTCGGGAAGAACGCGCAGCACGACGATTTGGTCGGGAAGCGCAAGAAGACTGCCAATTCGAGCGAAAAGCTCGCCAAGCAAAACAGTACGCTCTTGCTGCGGGCACCGGCGCCGCTGTCGCCGGCCGCGGCCTCGAGTCGCATCAAGGGCATTGTCAAGGAGTACATTGCGTCGCATGACCTCGACGAGACGCGCGCGTGTCTCCGCGAGCTGCCCCGCGACGTGCACGTGTCGTTCATTGACACGTCATTGACGTATGCGCTCGAGGGCAAGGACCACGAGCGGTCGGCGGCCGTCGATATGCTGGCGTCGCTCTACGAGACGTTGGATCTTGGCGCGACCGAGATGCAGAGCGCGCTCCTCAACACGCTCGAATTTCTCGACGACCTCCGCATTGATATCCCCATGGTGCCCCTTGCCCTCTCGTGTTGTGTCGCAGATAGCTCATCCGAGGCACACGTAGGTGCACGAGTCGCTGGCGGCCGTGCTTGGTCGTCTCATTCTGGCAGGCTGCTTCGGTCTCTCGTGGCTGCAGTCGGTCGTCGGCCACTTGGTATGATTCGCTAGCATCCTTTCTCGTCGTCACGCCAGGTTGATGGTAGGTGGAGAGCGGTCTGGCCGGCCTCTTACTCGCTGAAGTCCTCTCGGTGATCGAAGAGGAGACGTCGCTCGAGTCGGTCGTCGCCATGATTGCGCGGGAAGAGCTCTCGGTCGCGGCCTTCTTGCCGGATGGCGCGTCGGTCGATGCGTTCCTCAAGGAGCAGGAGATCGACATGTACTTTTACGACGAGGACGACGAGGGCGACGAGGACGACGACGAAGACGACGAGCTCTGGGCGCGACTGACGCCGACGGTCGACGAGTACCTTGTCGTTGGCGACATTGCCGAAGTCGAAACGTGCCTCCAAGAGCTCGCTGCGCACGAGAAGCTCCACGTGACGCTCGTCAAGCTCGTGCTCAACATGCTCTGCGAGTGCAAGGGCAGCCAACGCTCGCAGCTCGTGACTCTCCTCCGCGATCTCCACGCCCGAGGGACGCTCCCGACGGTAGAATTCCAAGCCGCCCTCGAGTGGTGGCTGGTCTCTGTCTTTGAAGACGTCGAGATTGACGTGCCGCAAGCCGCCAGCTACGTGGCACCCGTGCCTGCCTTTCTGATTGCATCGGGTGCCGTTCCCTTGGCATGGCTCGTGACCACGCTTCGCCCGTTGGTAAGCAACCTGCTATACGAAGAGGAAACGAGTGGCTAATGACGTGTTTGTGTAGGTCGAGTGCGGCCTGGCGGCCAAGCTTGTCCAAGCGACGTGCATCGAGATCGAGACGAGTCTGGGCCATGATGCGACCGTTGCCCTCGTCCAGACCAGCGCGGTTGACCTCAAGGACGTAGCGACGCTCCCATCCCATGTCGACAAGGTCGCGCCGTGGTTCGTCGTGGCATAAGGTCGTTCATAGGTCGTTAGAACGCGATAGGATTTACGCTCAATATATATATATATGTATCGGTTGATGGCAACGATCAAAGGAGGGTGCAGGTCGGCGACGGCGTGCAACCAGGTACTTCGGTATCGACGGCAACGGCTTCGCTGTAGGCGATCGCGCCCGTGGCCTTGGTCGTCGCCTGCACGCGGATGTGGTAGGTGCACGTCGGGTTGAGGTCGTCAAGCGTCGCGAGCGGCTGCGGCGCGACGACGGCGACCGCGTCGTCCCACTTCTCGTGAGGCTGCTTGAACTGGAAGACGTACGAGACCTCGTTGCTGAACTCGGCGATCTCCATGTCGATCGACACTTCGGTGCGCCCGACGCAGCGAGGTGGAGCGACGACCATGCTGCTGGCAACTGCGAAAGTGAGGATTGTGACGCAGCTGGAAACTGAAATAGTGTATTCCAACTCGATGCGATATACTGTTGTTGGATGACCGAGCCTCTACAACGGTGTCTGTGTGATGGAAAGTGACCATCGCCGTCTCGGGTACCCGTGGGCAAAGGGGCGACCAATGTGCCCGAGGTGCGAGACGGTCCCATGGCACCCCGCGTGGCAGCTGAATCCTCCCGCTCGACCCGGGAGCTACAGTAGTAGAGGTAGAAGGGCGGCCGCAACGCCCGATGCGGCCATGCACATTTGTACCACGGACCCGCCATTGCAAGGTATTGCTGGGCCCACACACGCAGCTGCGCGCGGCCTTGTGCCCCCTGGATTGGCGAGGCCCTGGCAGACCGCCCCATGTGCGTGGCAACGTGCTATGCAATATCGATTATGAGAGGTATGTGGATCGAAAATAAGAGGTTTGGCTGCTTTGCGTTGCGAAACGGCGCAGTAGGATCGCGCTTGGATCGGTTGTCGGAGCATGGACGACGCGGTCGTCATCTTGCGGCGCGAGCTGGACGCGTTCATGGCGACGCATGGCTCGACGGTGCTAGCGCGAGGTTCCGACGTCGACCCGGCAGCGGTCGCCGAGATGACGCGTCTGAGCTCCTTGTGGACGTGCATGGCGACGCGCAATTTCATGGCGACCGTCGACACGCTCCTCAAGTGGCAGGTGGCCAAAGTCGAAGGCTCGGTCTTTGTTCGCGCCGGTCACTACCTCGTGGGCCATCTGCTCTACGACATGCTGCAGGCGCTCTCGTCGCCTTGTGATGAACGCCTCGAGGCGACCTTGACCCGGCTCGTGCGACTGACGCTCAAGCTCCTGAGTGAGCGCAAGGACCTCGAAGCACCCACAGCCAAACAAGCAACTGATTTTTTCTCGTTCAAGCTGTCGACACCGGCGCTGCTGGTCGACGACGTTGTCCAGGCGCAGTGGCAAAAGATTCTAGGCCTCCTCGGACAGCACGCAATCGGGTCGATCCACGCTGCCATGGACGAAACCCTCAGTCGCCTCGACAAGACGCCATCGATGCCCAAAGACGTGTACCTCGCGACGTTCTCATCCATGCAGCTCCAGCTGTTGCAGCCGCGCTACGACGAAGCGACGGCGCCAGCGAAACTCGCCTTTCTGCGCGCCCTCCTCTCGTTGGCGTCCAAGCCGCAAAGGCTGCCGACGCGTCTCGCCGCGCTGCGCGTGCTCGCGGCCATTCTGCACCGAGAGCTCGCGCACGGGCTTCCGCCACCGACGCGCCACGTTGAGTGGAACAGCTTTCTGAGCGACCTCCACGCCGTCGCGTACAAGCTCTGTCTCAAGAAGCAGCGGCAGTTTAAAACGATTGCGATTGCATGGGACGTGCGTCTGGTCGCACTCATGCTCTCGAACGCCGAGATCTTTGCCCGGTACTGGCGCGACGACGCGATGGCGCTGCTCCGCGTGCACTCGCAGCTCAAGGACGCCACATCCCTTGGTCTCCTCTCGACCTTTCTCAAGCACCTCCTGCGCCGGCACTCGGCGTCGCGGAAGACGCTACCCCTCGAAAAAGACGTGATGGACATCATCAACCTCATCCAAGCGTGGTGCTTCTGCATCTCCAAGCACAAACCAACCAAGCTGCTTTTACTGCTTGGGCATCTCGTGGAGATGAGCGTCTTGCTTGCGTCCTACAACCTGGCGTACTGCCTCCAGAGCCACGTGCGGCAGCTCATCTTGGAGGCCGACTCGATCTTTGACGAGCGTCGGCTCGTGGGCCTGGCCGCATTGCGGGCCATCTTGCTGGCGCCTCCAACCGACGACGGCTCGTCATGGGATCGTGCCTTGCTCGCGGCCTCGCACACGAGCGTCGCAGACGTGGTTGGGTCTGTCCTCATCGAGAGCAACACGGTGTTTGGCAGCGGCATCGTCGGCGCGACGTCCAAAGCCAGCGCATACAAGACGTGGGTCGGTCTCCGCGTCTTTGAAGCCGCGATCGCGTGCACGCAGGTGCTCTTTTCCGACATGCAGCTCAGCGACGAGCACAAGACGATGATTTTAACGCGCGTCGCCGTCCACAGCGAGCTCTCGCTGCGGCAGGTGGCGTCCGACGCGCTCCTGTACATCGCGTCGACGTGCCTCGGCGCCGTCGTCGATGGCATCTACCAGCACGTCGTGCGGCTGCCCTTGTCCGACAAGGCCTTCCAAAGCGCGCTTCCGACGCTGCTGCATTTGGTCCAGCGGATCTGCGAGACTACCAACGGGCCGCTTCCCGTGTCCCACGGACAGGCCATCGAAGCCATGTGCCTCTACGTGCTCTGCAGCGACAACATCGAGAGTCGGCTCGGCGCACTCGATGTGCTTGCTGCTGTCGCCGCCTTGCGCCAGCGCTCGTCGACGCACGCAACGTCGACCATAAATGTCCTCGACATACTGAGGAGCATCGACGACGACCTTGCGCTTCAGTTGGGACTCAGCACCGAGGACATGAAGTCTGCATCGCGCGCTGGCAGTGTCCTCAAGTGGCTCGCCCAGAGACATGCTGCGCTGCATACGCAAAGGCTCTTTGCACACGTGCGCCCCGAGATGGACGACGATGACGACGCGTCGACGGACCGGGACGCGCAAGTGGCAGGTGTCGATTGGCTCTGGTCCCTCGGCCTCGCGACGCTTTGGACCCGCGTCTGTGAAGCGTGCCCCGAGCTGCTTGCGCGCATCTGGAGCGACGTCAATGACGCAGCGCACCGGCTCGAGCCACCGATTCCGGTCTTGGCGAGCGGTGACGACGCGACGTCGGCGCAGTGGCGCCATTGCAGCATCATGGCCTGTGCGAGTGCGCACATTGGCCACGACAACGTGACGCGCGCGTCGGTGGCACAGCTGCTGGAGCGTCAGCGCCGGTATTTGAAGAGTCCGAGTCCGCACCAGCGGCAAGCCGCCGTCCTCGCGCTGGGTGCGACGCACAGCAGCGCCCACGCCCTGCTCTTCGAGCACCTCGCGTCGTTGGAGCTCGACGCGTTCTGTGGCGCCGATCTATGGCTTGCAACGACGCTCTCGCCGCCCACGTCGCCGCCATCGCTCCTATCGAACGGCGGACCAAAGATGACCAAGCGAGGCTCGAAGCACCAGCTGCTCGCGACCAAGAGCTTGGGGATTCAAAGCGGGCTCCAGTGGGCGCTTGCTCGCATCTACCGCAGCCTCCTGTCGCAGCCCCACAGCATGTTCATGTGGTCCAAGCGAACATTCCGGCGGCAGTTGCTTGGCTTTCTGGAGAAGGTCCACGCCCATGTCTCGTCACCGACGCTGCTGCTGCGAAGCGACGTGTGCGCGATCCTCGAAGCCATTGTCCACCACAGTAACCTGGCCTTTGGGCTTGTGACGGACGAGCCCAACCAAGAGCCTTCGCTCGAAGATGCAGCTGCGTTGACGACTGCCCAGCGGTATCGGTGGTTTGAAACACTTGCAGCGTGGAGCCGTGACGTGGCACCCTCGGACGCGCTGGCTTGGACGCCGCACGTGTGGACGCTGCGTCTGCCGACGACAGTCGACGAAGCCCTTGCGCGCTGCAGCCACCCACTTCGCCCGACATGCGACGAGTGGATCGAAATGTGCTACGGCGTCTTGCACGCGGCGTGTGCAGCGATCGCGGGGCTCCTGCTTGGCCCTGCGTTTGACGTGCCCGCCGTCTTTGCCTGGCTCGACGAACTGTTGACTGCGACAACTCTGCCACCGACACGCGCGCGAATCTTCAGCCGCATACGACGCCTCCTTGGCAATGGCGTGCGTCTCTTCCTCTCGAGCGGCAACGACGAGGCGCTCTGTGTGTGCATTGAGCGCTGCCTTGGCGCTGGGGCGTGTACCAAAGAGTATGTGATGCTACTCGCCGACGTTCTACTGGACCTTCGCGCCGAGTGTCGAGCTAGTCGGAGCTTTCCGAAGCTGCTCTTCGTGGGGCTGTTGCACATGGAGTCGAACAGCGGCATGCAGATCCTCCTCACGCTGCTCGAGGCGCCAGAGACAACGAGGATGGAAAGCCTCGAGCGTACGCTGAGTGTCCCGTTTGCCACGACCGCTGCGAGTCTCTGGGTCAACCAGCGCGTTGCTATCAGCTACAAGAGCGTCTCGCCGGACGTGGTCGCCGCTCTCTTGACTTTTGTGCACAAGTGTCCGAGCATTCTTGTGCAGTCGCGGCTGCTCGAGATGGCGGTGCCGTGGGTGCAGAACCTCGCGTCGACGGCCCACGTGACGGCACTCCTCTTCCGTGTCACCACCGACCTTCAAGTCCCGTCGGTGGCCCGGCTCTGGATCGAGCTCGTCGCCTCCGACGAGAACCTCCGAGTTCTGCTTGAGCTCGTCTACGCCATCGAAGCGAACGAAAAGCTCACGACGGCGCAATGGATTCTTTCGTGCATCGAGGTCGAGCGGCTAACGGTAGCGGTCCTCGCCTACGACACCGACGAGCGGCGACGGCACGACCGCGTCCTCGACACTGCCGCGCGAACGATTGCGTTTCTGGCACCGCACGTGCACGCTTATGGCGCATCGCACATGCGGGTGCTGCGGCACTTGGCCGTCTCGGTGCTCTACGGCTATGCCTCCGTGCAGCCGCTCTGGCGCGTGCAGGACGAAGCCCTCCGCGCGACCGTTGTCGCCGATTGTGCCCGGCTACTCGAAGCAACCACGGCCAGCGTTGGCCTCCGGGCACTTGTCGAACGGCCTTCACTGCCGAGCCTCGACGAGCTCCGCGAGCTCTTAACGCCGCTGGGCAGCGCCCTTTCCGAGTGCGAGACCGCCGCGTGGGCCGACGCGTGCCAGGCAGCATTTGGCGGCGCCATGGGCAGCGCGCAAGAACAGCTCTATGCTCAGTGCAGCCTTTACGTCTACCGCCTTCTGCAGCCGCGCTTCAACGGCGCGGCGTGTGTGCACTTGCTCAACCTGTTGCGGTCGGCGCTCGACGACGTCGATGCGATCGCGTTCGTGCACGAGTACCTCTTGACGCTCACGCACTTGGCGCAAGTCATGCCGCCGTCCAAGCTCGTGCTCTTTCCGCAGCTGCTCTGGGTGGCCATCGCGCTCCTCAAACATTCGCAGAGTCAACTACTGAGTGCGCCGATGCTCGAGCCGCTCTCGCTGCAAGGGCCGTCGCTGAGCCTCTTGCACGCCGTCGTGAGTAAACCATCGTTCTTTGAGCCCATTGTGCACGACATGCTCCTTGCGCGACGGCCGCCGCAGTGGAAGCCACACGCGATCGACTGCACGTTCGACGTTTTGGCAGCGCTGTCGCAACAGCTCACGTCCCCCGAGACCGAAGCCATTGTCTTGCGCACGGCCAAGGCGCTGCTGTTTCAAGCCTCGAGCGTCCCCCACGGCGTTGTCCTCACCGCGCTGCTACTGCCGTCGCATTTGGCGACACCGTGTCGCGAGACAGCGCACGACCTCGGCTACCTCTGGCGGCTCCTTGGAGAGCTCGAGTTGGCCGAAGCGCTCACTGCCTCGGCGCCGATCGCGGTCGACGAGCTCGCGCCGCATCTCGTGCGCTGCTGCTTACGGTCGCCCAGTGACGAAAAACTCTTCCTCGACGTCCTACTTGCGATCGTGGTGGGTCACTGCAGAAGGCTGCACGCGCCCACGCTACAGCTCGTGCTCCACCTGGTGCTCGCGGCGCCGCCGACGTTTTGGAAACGGAATGGCACGCTGCTCGCCGTGGTGACGCGCCTCCTCCATTGCACCCCCTCGAGTGACTCGACGTGGCCTACCTTGCTGTCGCTGCTGAGCACGCTCTTGCCGCCGCTCTAGCTGGCGAAGCTAATGGCATGCAACAGAGATCATCGATGGGCTTCTTTCTTCCTGCAGCGTGTCGGTGGCCGAATCGGGCAGAGCAAAAGGATGCGATGTGCCTCAGTCGCGTACACCTACACCCTTGGTGTGCAACCTTGCACACTAACGACCAAAGCGTCTAGCGTGCAATCTGTCTTGCTTCTTATAAAGTATGGATCGTTGGAGGATACCAGGGGTAGGGTTTCTCGCGAGCCAGCGCCGTGGAGAGCGTGCGAAGTATGGTGGCACTCGCCTTGGTCGCTGAGTTTCGCAGACAGGCATCTACAGCTTCAAGTCCGAGCGTGAAGCATCGGCGCATGTCTTCTCGTCTCACCGACACGGGCTCATCACCGGCGTTCGATCTCTGCGCTGGCTTATCTCGCGGAGGCGGGTAACGCGTTGTCATTCTCGCTGTGGGTGCTGGAAGACGCATTTTGTCAAGGACGACGAGGGCTTCTACAGGTGGACCAGAGGAATAAACTTGAGGTCGACCCGTGCTGCGTTCGGATGAACTCGACCACCTAACGCGTCGCGTCGTGGCCGGGTGCAAGGATACCATCTAGGGCTTGCAAGTAATTTTTCGATCGCCAAACCATCAAATTCAAGTTGGAGTTTGTGCGTGGGGCTCCACCTCGCTCAACCTCCACGAAAAGCAAGTGCATCGCTGCTGTGTTGTGTATTAAGTAGATGATGGGTTGCAAGTTCTTCGCGGCAGTAACCTCGTGCCCGAGCAAGATCCCTACTCCTTGCCCGAGAGCTTCTGCGGCACGACCGGGTGGTTGTGCTGGCCCTTGATTTCGTCCCACTCGACGTTGAGCTGCCGGTCGACAAACTGGTCCAAGTCGGACGGGCGGTCGCGGAGGTCGTCCCGGCCAAGCTCCTTTTGCTGCTCGTTGAGCACGCCGAAGCACACGTTGCAGACGCGCTGCGGCTTGTGGTTGGGGGTTGACCCGTGCGCCTTGAAGCGATGGTCGAACCCTTGCGGAAACTTGAAGGCCGCGACGCGGCCGCCGCCGCACTCGCTGCAGCAGAGCCGGCCGCAGTACCGGCAGTGGTGGCGCCGCGTGCCGAGCGAGAATTTCTTCTCGCAGAGCATGCAGCCCGGGCGCGCCTTGTCCTCGATCCAGACTGGCGACTGGTTGACCTTGTGCAAGAGCCGCTTCAGGAGGGGCTTGTCCACCTTCTCAAAGACCGTCTTCTTGTTCTCGTCCAAGTTGTCGAGGCGGGCGCCGTGGCGCACGAGGCGCAGCGCAATTTCGACGAGGCCCTTGTCGAGTGCAACGTGGAGAAGCGTCGACTGGTCCACGGACGCGTTCGGATCCGCCTTGTAGCGCAAGAGCATCTCGCAGAGCATCGGGTCGTCCTTCGTGGTCGTAATGATGTGCACGCCCAAGGGCGTCTGGTTGCGCACGTTGAAGAACTGCGTGTCGGCGCCGTGGTCCAGTAGCATCTTTGTGATCCGGCGCGACTTGGCCGCGGCCAAATGCAGCGCCGTGTTGCGCCGGTTGTCCGGGAGGTTGATGATCGACGAGGCGATGCGGGGCGAGAGCAGCGCTTTGAGCACGCTCATGTGGCCGCCACGAACTGCAAAGTGCAACGCGCTCTGGCCAAACGCAGGGTCGCGCCGCAAGACATCCGTGCCGGGCTGCACCAAGAGCGCATTCACCTCGACCACGTCGCCAGCGCGGGCGGCGAGCAGCAGCGGCGAGTAGCCTTCGGTGTTTTCGACGATCATAGGCGGCCGCGACTGCCGCACATCGTGCATGCTCGGATCCATGTGGTGCAGCGCGTCGCGGAAGACAAGGCTGTCGCGCTGGCCACTGCGTGGCGGCGCGGCGAGATCGTGCACGGACATGTGCGCAAGCGACTCGCGTGCCACGTCGGCATTGGCTTGCACCGCCTTCGTCCCCATCGGGCTGGATGCATATTCGTTCGTCGAGTCGTACTGCGCCGAGCTCGTGAAGCTCGAGTCGTTAACGCTGGCCGTGAGGCTGTCGACCGTGTTGCTGCGGTACGTCTGGCGCCGCTGGGACGTCATCGGGCTCACCTCGCTGCTCGCGTCGTCGACGGGCATTGCTGCAAAATGTGGTTTGGCCCTTTTTTGGCCCAGCCCCAAGTTAGTAATTTGGCAGGAAAGACCCATTCTAATATAATACGCGGTGCAAAATTTAAAAGATGCGCTGCGAACTTTAATATATCATAAATATAAATCAGCAGGACGACTAGAAGCACGCAACCTGCAGCCTGTCTGTACCGGTACAGTGAAGCTGCTTGCAGAACAAGGCCTTGGAGCCACAGACGGTCGACAAATATGGCCATCATGCACTACGAAAGCATGTTAAGGCGCAGTGTGGAAACGCTTTTGGACAACCTACAAGAAAAGATCGTGCTTGTCGAACAATCGTTGGATGATATCTGAATTTTTGGCTGCCGTTTGCTTCAACGAAATAGCGTAGATCGCGGGCGTATGGAAGGATTGTGGAATGCTACTACTGCGCGGACTAGCCCTGCAACCTTACCGGTTGTGCTCAAGATACTTGTGAATCCTCCTTCTCTGCTCTTCCGCCCGGGTTCCACCAACGCAGTTGCGTGTGTTTAGTGCGATTGCTTGGTGCGTTGAAACCAAGGGTACATAAATTCAAATTGAATTTATGTACACTTGGTTGAAACTGTGCGTTCTCCGAATTAAAATATGCGAAATAGAATCAAATGCATGTATTTTAATAAAGCACTGTGCATTCTATTTTTACACGCATATTATAATTGTACGTCATGGCTCCGTTGTATGTGACATAGAATACCGTATTATTAATATTGGAGACGCGACGGTTACACCAGTGTGAAATGCGAAGCTCAGCTTCGCGAACCTGCAACACCCAACGTGACCAGCCGCCCGCCGCATGTATAGACCAAAGCAGGCCATGGAAGCTGGCGACTCGAATCGGCGCTCGCAGCTGGTTGCATCCAGGCGTATTTCGATGCATGATTTCGATGGACTCGTTCTACATCGAGAAAGCAGCAGAGGCATGGGCGGACCAGGCTTCAACTTCTGCTACAGCTCTTCTGTTGACGGCGATCTGTAGCGCCGACGGAGCCAGCTCGACGAACGCGATGACGCCAATACCGTCGCTTGGCGTCGGCGGTGCGTCGTCACACGAATGTGTCAGTCACCACGCTGCGTGGGACGTGCAACCTAGCGCGACGAAGGTGTATCTTCTGGTCATCCGGATACCGTGCCATGTCGTCCGGAAACCGCGCCAGCCCATTTTGCGGCAGGAATGAATGACAACGGAGTGGCGACGATCGAGGCGCGGGCCGAGGCCCTCGAGCAGCGCGTGATTGCGATGGAGAACGTCGCGCGCGTCGTGCAGCACCTGCGGAAGGAGCAAGTGGCCAGCGCCGCCTTGCACACGGCCCCGGCAGCCTACTACGACTGGTCGCTGGCACAGCGTGCGTACGTCGCTGCGTTTGTACATGAGCGTGTTGATGCAGTCGCTGCAATAGGCAGCTCTTGAACTGCAAGACGAGCCAGCTATGTAAGAGCATCATCATGGAGAACGTTGCGTGGAAGGCAGAGATGGTCCATGCCCCGCGGTACGCACGACACATGATGGTCGCCACCGGACTTGACATCGAGGTCATACGTAGCTACGTGTGCGTCATCGTGCAGTACGAGGCCAAGGTGAACGCAGACAAGGTCGCCAAGCTCGTGCGTGATGCTGGCAAGGATGCCAAGGTCTCTCGCAAGCACGTCAACTTCCAGCATGCGGCGACCGACGTCTCGGACGAGCTCACGGGCTTCCAGTTCAACGGCGTCTCGCCTTTCGGCATGAAGACATCGATCCCGGTATGCCTTACACACGCCTCACAGCAGTCTTCCTACGTGCAACTAGGTGGTCGTTTCGAGTGCGATTCTTCCTCTCGGCTACGTCTGGCTTGGCGGCGGCGCCGTCGACGTCAAGCTCCGGGCATCGACCGCCGATATTGTGCGGGCTCTCGATGCACTGGTCGGCGACATCTCCGAGCCGCGCGTCTAAATCTCGTTGCACCCTATTGTGTGCGCGAGATATCTGAAGAGCCACCATAGAAACCGCTTTTGTTTCCAACTTGTTACATCTCAAACATGTGCGTAAACGGTCCTTCGGATCGAAACTCCAGCGCCTACACGCAGTGAGATCGTTGTCTGAGATGGCCGAGAAGACGCACTTGGCGATTGCCAAATGTGCCGGCGCGGATCACGGGCAGTTGCAGCTCTACAGCACATTCGATATTGCAGGTTGAAGACATTGTGACCTGACGCGGTCGCGCCGTGCACGAGGTCCTTGGCCATATCACCAAGTAGCTGGACGAATGCGAGGTAGATAGCCTCGGCACCATCGTCCTTGCCGAGCTGCCCATGGCACCTACGCGCTTGCGGCATCGAAAAGGCACCGGAAAGAAGCGCCGTATGTACTGCAGGTTCTTGCCTCGCTGGACCTTGGAGGTGAGCGCCGCTTGGGGCACGACGAGCACGTGGACCGGCTCGCCGCTCGCCGTGCATGCTACACAGCAAGAGCAGGAAGCTTGGCCCTACGTGCCGTGCGGACTACCTTCGCAGATGCTCTGAGGTTTGCCTGACGGTGCGCTGAGCAGGCGAAGCGTCAGCAACGATTTGACTAGCCCCATCGTGGCAGCATGAGCGCCACGTACAAGCATCGCGGACGCACCAATCTTGGGCAAGTCGTCGGCCGTCGCACCTTTGGCCCACGAGACGTAGACAATGAGGCTAGCGCATCTTAGATTAGCATGCGGCGCGTCGAGGTTGTAGCGCGCGTACCCTTTGCCGATGCTCACGTACTGGTCGACGTTGTCCTAAGCGATTGGCGCAGGTGCATCAGCGTGAGGCAGCGCATGGCGGCGTACGATGAGGAGCGTCGCGGCCTCGCAGCGCTGGGTCACGCAGCGGAACGTTGTCATGGCGGCTGCTGGACGTCAGTATTTGTGTCAATAATTGCGTCGACCAGGAAAGAGCGGTCAGGAATAGACACACCAAGTGCAATTTCCGAAAAAAGTCGCGTACCAGATGGTGACGCAAAAATGCGTCGACACAAAACATGGCAGCTTACCCAACACAAGTGGTTTGAAACTGCGCCAACGCCCTCTGCCGTGCGCCAAACCGAGTGGTGGCGGCACGTCGGATTGGTCGAACGTTTTGCATTTTGACCAATCCGATGCGAGTCGCATTCAATCCAACCCGACGTGCTGGCAGGAGAGTTCCGGGCGGCGATGGCGGTGGGCAAGTTCCAGGTACGTAGCCGTCTCTGCGCGGATCGCCACTGATGGGCATGGCTTCTAGCACCGGTTCCGCGAGAGCCACGCGGCCTGCTACAGCATCCGGCTGACGCGCGTCCTGCTCCTGAGCGTCCTCGCCCTGGTCGCCCTCCAGCTCTTCTTCGTCGGCGCCTACAACGACAGCTATGGCTTCGACCTTAGCCTGCGTGGCCCGGTCAAGTACGACCGAAATCGCCTCGTGGCTGACCTCCTCGAGATGAACACACTCAACGAGATCTGCCTCACGGCCAAGGACGCTGTGATCTCGTTCCAGAACAACGATACGACCCATCTTTTGCTCACGCCCGAGATGGACCACACGCTTCTGCTCGAGCACTTGAGCGACTGCCACGACGTCGACGTCTTTCTTCCGTCGGACTTGCGCTCGCACGGCTACTGCGAAGACGGTATGGCGTACGTCCAGTTCCTGCACGCGCGCGCCTTGCCGCACTGGGTGTTTGACATGCGCTACGAGCGCGCCGATGGTACGCGCTTCGATCCTCTGTATGCGTGTGCGATGCTATACCTGTCTAGGGACGTTTACAACGTACTTTGAGCTGTGCCCGACGACGCCACTCGTGCTCATGAACCATTACTGGCGCGGCGTCCCCGACATGGCCAAATTTCCCGATGTACACCATGCGTTCTTCTTTGGCGTTCTCATTACGACGCAACTGCTAGGAGAAACCCGTGATCCTCATGCCCAACATTGAAATGCACGAGCTTCGCGCGCAGCACTACTGGAGCGTCGACTATGTCCTCTGCAAGACACGCGACTGCTACCACCGCGTCGTCGCCTGGTGCCATCTCGCCCATTCCGACTCGAAGAAGCTCACGCCGGCTGTAGGTACGCGCAAGAAGGCAACCCGCGCAAGACGCGGGTGCTGTACACACAGCACACGTCGTCCGATCCGACGACGCTCACCAAGTGGCACTCGAAACAGCGCGCTGTCGAGCGCATCAAGCCACGGGACTTTCGATCGCTGCGCTTCTTCCACGCCAACGGCCACAGGTAGCGAGCGACACCAGGTGTCTATCGCTGTATAACACCATCGTGGCTAGTACCCAGAAAAGCACGCGGCAAATCCTCGACTGCTGGGCAGGTCGCAACGACCTCCCGCCACTCGATCTGTATTCGCTCGACGACTCGTCGCGGGACCACTACCACAGGCTCTTTCCCAATGCGACGCCTGCCAACGTTGCTTTTCATTGGGGCACCGATGTGAATGCGGTCGCGTTCGGGAAGCTCCTCGCGGAAGCGCCGGTCATTCTCTGTCCGAGCAAAATGGAAGGGTACGCGATGCCTGCGACCTGGAAATCGAAATGGCAACAATACTCTAGATTTGGCCACTACATCAACCAAGCACGCGCATCCGGCGCCTTGGTGCTCACGACCAACGGTGCGCCGATGAACGAGCTCGTCGACGCCAACTCGGGTGTGCTCATTGCGGCCGACGTGATTCCGAGCGCCGGGTGCGACGCGTTTTTGAGAGGACCGTGTGAATCTGAATCTGAATTGGAAAAACGTAGACATCAAATGCTCGCCCCCGACTTCAAGTACAAACACGGTCTTCGCAACGCCACGAGCATGGAGTACGACGTGCACGGAAGCTACATCTGCGACGCGGTCGACAAGGTCCTGGGCATGCCGCCGTATGAACGCGAGCGGCGCGCGGCGAACGGCCGGGACCGGTACCTCGCGCAAATCAAGTTTTTCCGCCGCAAAATGGAAGAGCTCCTCAACGAACTCCGGGGCACGGGGACGTTTCTGAACGAAGTGCCCGACGACATTGATGTCCTCGACGACGACGACGCGACGACGTAGAAGGGACAACCATAGATATACTAGCTCTAGTAGATAACACGCACCGCGCCGAGAGAGGATGCACAGACAATCTCATCCGACACTGCGAGATGGAGCGCCACGTGAGCTTGAGCCTATTCACGTCACTGAGCTTGAGCTTGCTCAAGACATGCACTGGTCGTCGATACCACCCAAATCAAAAAACAACGAGATTTAGGTCATCAGGTTGTGGACGCAAGCGTGGTTGAAGCAAGGCCATACGCTTTACTTGGCCTTGGTTGAAGCCATGAGCGCGGAGCAACTGTCTGCCTCTCGACGGAGTTGCGGCGGCGGTTGAGAGCACCTTGCTTGGACGAGTCGTGCCAATGCTGCCTCGGATGCCACAGAGCTCGTAAGGTCTTGCTGGATGTTGAAATGACTCGAGCGCGGGTGTGCACAGGGGTGCGAACGACTGCGATATACGACAAGCCGTACGGATAATCGCATGATGTACAGCATTGTCTTCTAGTTGCACGACAGGCATCCGACAACTAAGCATGCACCGGATCATGGATTCCTCTGCCCCCAGCTTCTGCCACCAGGTTGTCGAGGTCGACCACGCCACTGTACAGTACGGTACGCGCTATGCTGTCATCTCCTTTACTACATGCGTACGTGCTGCTGCTGTCACGCCTCGCGCAAAGCGGTCTCGCTTCTCATCCTGGCCTTCTGGTCTTCTGGCCTTGCGCGCGCATGGGCCACGCCACGTACCTACTACTCCACTCGCGGGATCGCCGTCATGTCATGGTTCCTCGTCGCACATGTTCCGAGCGTGGTACCTATCGCAAGGGCATGCGACGCACAACGCGGTGCAGTTGCTCGCAGCGGCTTCTTGGCATCTGCGGCAGCATGCAGCATGTAGCTTCACGGTCATGGCCATGGCCATGGGCTCGGAGAGGCGGCGGTCGCACCGTCTTTGTAAGGTAGATAGATAGATACCTGACGTGCGCGGTTGTGAGGACTTTATTTTAATTTACCCGAATGCAGCGTCCATTTTTATTCTGTCGCGGGGCCACATGCTGGCGCCGGCACTGAATTTTATTCTGTGCGCGAATATTTAAAACATCCAAGCGCCTTTTTTTAATGCATCAACGAATTGACGAAGTTGGCCCATTTCCAGTTCTCGATCATGGCGACGCCCGAGGAACCGACGCCGGTTGCCGACGCGCCGGCCGTAGCCTTCACACCGCCGCCGCCGCCCATTGACGTGACGCTGCCTGCCGAAGCGCCCGCAGAGGACGCGGCGGCGCCAGAGGCCACGCCAGTTGCCGCTTTGCCAGAGGCAGCTGCGGTAGTCAATGCGCCAGTCGAGACGACGCCGCTCCTGGTCAAGCCGCCGCTCAAGCGCATGACCATGTCGCGCACCGACTCGGAGCGGCCGATCCGGAAGGAGCTCATCACGCTCTTTGCCTCGTGCACCAACTTGCATCTGCCATCGCTGCCGCAGTCGTTCTTCCAATCGGTCTTCAAGAAGAAGAATTCGGAGGCGTCGACGCCCGAATGCAAGGTCGAGGTCGAGATGCGCCGGCCAACTGACAACATTGTTGTGCACGCGCAGGCCACCGAGCCGCGCCGGTCGCGCAACCCGTCGTACACGATGGGCTTTACGATCCCCATTCCGCTCTCGACCAAGACGCCGCGGGGGTCGGCGGCGTCCTACTCGCTCTACTTTCGCGTCCAGCAGACCGACGTCGGGCTCGAAAAGATTGTCGCGCGCGGTGAAATCTCGTGTGCGACGCTTCTCGAGAGCTTCCGCCAGGGCTCGCCCGTCGTGCATTTACCGCTGGCGATGACAGGCGCGTCGGACGCGATCCTGAGCCTCACGTTTGGCCGCGTCTTTCCCGTGAAACACTCGGTCGTGCCAACGCAGAACATGCTCCTCCACATGTACTCGCTCAACCCCGAGAAGGACGCGAAGGAGATCCGCTCCAAGCGAACGCTGGTCGCGACCGAGGAGGTGCTCGAGGTCGGGTACCACGCGTCCGTGCCCCCGCTCTTGCTGCACCAAGCGTACAAGGAGACCGAGGCCCTGCACCGCCTCTGGACGATCCGGTACAAGAACGCGCGCAAGGCCGCCATGGACTTTACGTCCGACGAAGAGGCGCTCGCCAGCGGCTGCGACGTGTACGCGATCGAGGTCATTAGCGGCCGCGGGCTCAAGCTGCCGCCCAACCTCCCGCCGATGGCGCCGACGCGCACGAGCCGGTCGTCGTCGTCGGCGTCGACTGCGACGGACGCGGCCAGCGTCACGCTCAACCCGTTCGTCATGGTCAAGTTTCGCGAGACGACGAAAGGGAAGCGGCCGATCGAGATCTCCGAAGGCAAGACCAACGTCGAAATGAACACGTCGGAGCCCAACTGGGCCGCCAACATCGTGCTCGACACCAAGCCCAAGACGACGACGCTGGCCGAAGCAACGAGCAAGAAGGACGGGAGCACGCCCCGTCGTTCGCGCTCCAACAGCAATGCGCACTCGCCCGTGAGCTCGTCGAGTAGCAAGAAGAACCAAAACTTTGTGTTTTACCGCCCGTCGCCCGTCAACGCGGACGGCCACAGCAGCAACCATGCGCTCGAGCGCGTGCTTCAATTTGACGTCGCGAGCGAGTGTGTGAGCCACCACGACGGCCAGATCGATATTGGCCAAGTGCTCGTGCCCGTCAAGGCCATCCTGTACGAAGGCTCGAACGACGTGTACGCGATCAACGTGACCAAGTGGCTGCCAGTGCTCTCGCCGACGGGCGACGTGCGCGGTGAAATCCTCCTGCGGATCCAGCTGAAACGCACCACACTGCCGTTCCTCCTCGAGCCCGAAGACATTCCGGGTCGCCACGGCACGCTCTTCAAGCTCGCCGACCCAGTGCGCGACAAGACGTGGCACAACAAGCTCGCCTCCGCCGACTCGACCACCAAGCAGCTCTCGATTCCCGAGCTCCGGGACGAGGTCGCGGCCCTCGAAGCGTCGCTCTCGCAGCTCGCGCAATGGATCAACTACAACCACGACCACGCCGACGAGTGGTTCCGCTCGAGCATGGACAAGGCCAAGACAGAGGTGCAGCCGTTTGCGACCAATCTCCACGTGGCGTATTTCCGGCTCTTCCGAGGCCCGACGCCGGTCGTGCGCGAGGCCGAAGCGTCGATCGTGCCAGGGACCGACATGTCGGCGTTCTTGAGCCGCCTCGACTCGACGTCGCTCGATGACATTGCGGTCTTGGAGCTCCAAGACATGCTGGAAGTCGACGTGACGTACTCGACGGTCACGTGCGGCGCGCCGACGGCCCACAACCTCGGGGTCTCCAAAAGCGGCCTCATCGAAATGGAGGAGACGCTCCTGTCGTGCGAGAAGAGCATGGTGCGCGTCCAGACCGAGTACGGTCTCCGAAAAGCCGTGTGTCTCTCGCAAGCGCTCAGCGTCCTCGTCACGACGTTCATGACGCAGCTCGAACTCTGCGTGCAGCGCATGGTGCCCAACCATGACGCCATCATGGCGCAGTGGGCCGCGGTCGGTTTCCTCCTCGGCTGGGAGTCGCTCGTCTCGACGCAGGGCAAGGAGCTCCGGATGCTCTCGGATGCGTGGGTCGCCATCAAGTCGCTCGAGCGCTTTGCCATCCGCCTAGTCTCGGGCGACGTCGACATGGAGCTGCGCGAGCGCGACGACGGGTACATCCTCGAGCTGCCAGTGCCATCGGTCCATTTTGGCTCGCTCCCGCTTTCGCTGCAGGACGGGCAGCTCATCTCGGTGACCGCCGTTCTCTTTACCCAAGGCATCAACGAGATGCAGACGCTGGCCAACGCTGTCGGCGCGCAAGGGATTGAGCTCCAGACGCGCGTCAACGAAAAGAGTCTCAAGGTCCATTCCTTCTGTGTGGTCCGAAATGTCACAAGTCGTGTAGGCGCTGCAAAAGTACCTCGCGAGTCTCACCAGCACGCCTGGACTCGTCCACCACTGCGCGTCGCTGCGTCTCGAGCCGCTCGCGACGCTCATCGGCAGCACGGAGAAGAAGAACACGCGCATCCTCCTCGAAGCCTCCGACAACGTCCGGCGCATGAACGGCGGCCGCGTCACGTTTTGCAAGAGCGGCAAAGATCGCACGGCCATGTCGGTGACCTTGGACCAAGCGCGCATCCTCGGCAGCACGTGGAAGCAAGCGACGGTCCTCATGAAGGAGTCGACGATGGAGAAGGAGTGGCTCGAGATCAAACCCATCGCCAACTTTATGCGCGAATATGGTGTGCGTATCGAAGTCGCCAAGAAGAACGTCGGCCAAGCCCGGTATTCGTTCAACAGCCTCCAGCGCAAGTGCCTCCCCAAGATCTACCGTCCGTCCCACGCCGCGATCCAGGGCTCGCACGACGTCGACGATTCGTAAATTGTATCAATGTATCAGCGCACCACCATATCCAGCATTCAGTATCCATTCAGTAGTAAATGGATGCGTCGTCTTACGAGTCGCGCGCCGTCACGGACGTGACCATGTCTTGGATCGTCGACGTCGGCGGCCGGTACAGTTCGGGCAAGAGCTTGCGCTGGATCGAGTTGAACGAGTACTTGAAGCGCCCGACGTTCTTCTTGGCGACGACGATGCGAACTCCATACTCGCGCATGAGATTCGCGGCCGCGAGCTCATCGTGCGAGACCATTTCTTGGGACGCGTGCGTCGGCGACGTGACCAGAAACGGGTTTTGCACGTTCGCGCGCTTGAAGAGCAAGCGTGCTTGGTCCAGTGTCACCGACATGGCCGTGCGATCTTTCCCGCTCTTGCAGTACGTGACGCGGCCGCCGTTCATGCGCCGGACGGCGTCGGACGCTTCGAGCAGAATCCGCGTGTTCTTGGCGGCTGCGTTCTCGGCTTGGACAACCGCCATGAGCGGGTCGAGCAGCAGCTGCGCTGTCGTTCGGTCCGACTCGACGTTGAGGCCGAGGTACTTGGCGTGGTACTGCTGCAGCGTCTGGAAGCTCGCATTGTTGATGGTGCTTTGGAGCTCGACGCCCGACGTCCCGACCATGTTGGCAAGCGACTGCATCTCGTTGATGCCTTGCGTGAAGAGCACCGACGTGACGCGGATGAGGCCGAGGTCCTTCGGGGCCCCGAGGCACGGAATGCGAATCACGTAGCCTTCGTGGTTGGCGCCGGTCTCTTCCAGCAGCAGCGTCTCGATCGAGTCGTCGAGCTGGAACGCAAAGCGCTCGAGGCACTTGATGGTCGCCCACGCATCCGAGAGCATCGTGAGCTCCTTGCCTTGGGACGAGATCAAGCTCTCCCAGCCAATGAGATATCCGATCGAGGCCCACTGGTGCAGGATCTCGGGCGCGGTCTCCATGTGCAGCTCGAGCGAGGCCAGAAACGACGTGACGAGCGCCGACACGGCCTGCGAGACGCAGACGCACTTGCGAAAGTAGTACTGGTACTTGCACGCTTCGAAGGCTTCGCGGAGCGCGAGGGCCGACGGCGCGATCGTCTCGTCGCTCGGGTGCCGCGTCAGACGCGTGCCCAGTGTCTTGGTCATCGTCTTGCGCGCTTTCGCGGCCAGCGACCAGCTCGCCGCCTTGGCTTCGGTCGATTCGTCGTGTTTCTCGGCGGCCTCGGCGTCCGTACTACTACGATTGCTGCTGCTGCCGACGTCGTCGCCGTCGTCGACCGGCACGAGCACGGGCCGCTCAAAGGTCGCGACGCCGCCTTCGACCATGACGTTGCTGTGGAGGTTCTTGACGCCGTTGGCCACCAGCGCGATCTGCGTCTTGACGCGCACGAGCTTGTCCTCGAGGCCAACGAGGCCTTGGTCGTCGAGGCCGAGCGCGTGGGCCGTGGGCGCGCCGCATGTGACGGTCGCGTACGTCATTAGCGTCGGGTTCTCCTACAAGTCGATGGCACCGCAGGACTTGTGCTATGGTGGTCGGCTACCATGCTCGGTGGCGGCGTCGACGCAACAACGGGCGGCGTGTCGTCGTTCAAGCCGAGCAGGTCAAACTGGCTCGGCTCGGCCTGGACGCCGGGGCGCGGCGACGCAGCGGGCCACGCGTACTTGCGCAAATACGACACGTGCAAGTTGGTTGCGAACGCTTGCACGTCGCGCTTCTTCTTGTCGCCGCTGCCTTTGAACCAAAGGCGCTGGCTCTGGCGGGTCTCGGCCGTCCGGATCATGGCCGCGAGCTCCTTCACTTGGCGATCGAGCTCCATGACGTGCGCATGTAAAAACCCGATCGAGTAGTGCTCTTGGTCGCTCGGGATCGCCATCGTCTCCCGCAGCGCGCGATCCATCTACACGTGTCCGTGGACACCGTTAGCTCGCGGTGCATTAGTCTTTGTATGTGCTCGAACCGTCGACGACGCGAGGCGGAAGAGTGGTGTGTCGTCCGCTTTGGCCTGTCCGGGCTTGGACGCATGCGTGTTGTGCTCCGACTCGAGTACAAACGGTGTGGATGTCAGCCGAATCTGCAAGTCCAAATAGAGCTCGCCAACCGGTTCCTGCTGCCGGTTGAGGATCGGCACCCACATGGCCGTGTGCAGCGAGAGCGCGTTGGGCACAACGTTGCGCGTCTCGGGCGTCATGAGCGGGCGCAAGTCGTTGAGCGAAATGAACACTTGGCCAATTTCGACCGCGCTCTGGCCGTCGTTCTCGGCCTCGCCGTAGACGTCCCACTGCAGCGCGCCGGACAGCACTTGCTGGCGCGACGGCCGAAACCACGAGAGGAAGATTTGCTTGGCCCCTTGCTTCACCTCGACGTCCGCTTTCGTGTGCAGGAGCGAGGCCACGCTGTGCTTACTGGCTGCCGATCCATGCGGACACAGATGCACGTTCTGGTTGGTTCCAAAGCGCGGCGAGAGCGACTCGTACTCGGTGTTGGTGCGTCCGACGAGATGCCACGGACTTTGCTGCAATGGCGTCGCGGCCGACTCGGTCTCGTTGAAGAGCACCATCACGAACGGGTGCACGCCGCAGCGGGGCGCGAGCGCATCATCGCTGGACGAGCCGCGTTTCGGCGAATACTGCTTCTTGAGCATCTCGCGCGGGCTCAGCGGGTGCGGCGGACGCACCGGTGACGTCTTGCGAGGCACGTTGGCGAAAGGTACCGAGAGGTTGCGCGCGGCGACGACCGAGACGCGGAAGACGTCGCAGCCGTTCCGCAGCGCGTCGTCGCCGTCGGCAAAGTGCTTGAGCCGCTTCCGCGCGTTGTTGTAGCGCACGCGCCAGAGGTGGTAGGCGCCTTCGAGCTCGCGGCGGCAGTGGCGAAGAAAGAGCAGCGGCATTTGCACGCTGGGTCCGACCTCGGCCAGCTCTTCGCTCACGAGGGTCGGCAAGTGGTGCAGCGGATTGGTCGCTGACGGGAACGCGTAGCACTTGATGATCTCGTTCTGCGTCTCGAGGAGCGAATGCGAGAGTGGCGCGACGCGTGCGAAGCGGAGCGTGAGGACAGCCGCGTCCGTGACGGCCGACGTGAGCGGCAAGTAGACCGACGAGGCACCGTGCTCGAGTTTTGCAGCAAGTGCAACCACGAGACGTCGGTGTGGGCAACGACTTTTCCACTCGCACCTTCCTCGGTCAAGACAACGTTAAAGCACACGAGCGAGTCGGGCGGCGTCGTCGCCGGCAGCTCGAGTGTGAGGCCAATGACAAAGGCCGGGTTGCGGCTCCGCACCTTCTCCGTCGAGTAGCGAGGCGTCTGCGGCAGCGGCGCCCGGTTCGCCGCCTTGATTTCGACCTGGATCGTGCACTCGGGCAGCTTAGCCTTTCCGGCGGTCGTGCCGAGCACCGACATGGCGCCGCGCAGGACGTTCTGCGCCGTGCTGTTGACG